CAATGCACTTGTTTTATGCGCAATGCTTTATAATACAATGCAACTGTTTTATGTGAAATGTTTTATAATACAATGCAATTGTCTTATACTAACACAAACGAGTAAATCAAGATAAACTTTTGTTGTTTATTGGCTTACATAAGCATACACATTATTTTACGACTATTTTCAAATTTTTCGAAATCATATGTTGTAATAATGCAAAAAAAGTTAGAGATCGAATTTGGTGCAATGTTTTATAATCAAGCTTGCAATATTTAAGTTTTAAGCTTGTAATATTTAAGTAAACTTATGTAATAATTTACACTCATGTCCATAAATTAAGGATAATTCAGAATCCCACAGAAATTGAACTCTAAAATAAAAATTTCACCTGTAGAATTATCACATACATCTTGAAGAAGAATATGCAAATTACAGGAAACCACCAGATGGCGCGGATAGTACGTCACAATTACGAGAGTGTAAGAGAGGGGTATATAAGGAATGGTGGCAAAGAAGTAAAATTGTTCACAAGAGCTTTAAAAGCCTTTCAGTGCAATAACCGCATAGTTATGACACAAAGGAATCATTTGGATGATTTTTTACTTGGTAGAATTATCGGACGACTGGAATGTGGACGTACCCAGCTGGAAGTATCCGAGGAACTTGGAATCGCCCAGAGTGTCATCTCCAGGCTTTGGCAGCGATTCCAAGATGATGGTAATGTGAGTAGATGTTACAGCACAGGTCACCCCCCGAGTTACAACGCCGAATGAGGACCGGTATTTAGCAGTTACTGCCAAAAGAAACAGACGGAGCACAGCATCAGACCTGTCTCGTCAGCTCTATTCAGCTACCTGTACGACAGTTTCAAGGCAGACCGTGTACAGACGCTTAGGGCACATTGGTCTATATGCTCGTAGGCCTGTCAGATGTGTTCCACTTACCGCAACTCACTGTCGCCTGCGATTAAACTGGAGTAGAGAGCATGCATTGTGGACACCGCAACAGTGGTCTTGTGTGATGTTTTCCGACGAGTCCAGGTTTAGTTTGCAGTCTGATTCTCGCCGGACTTTCATATGGAGAGCGCCAGGTACCCGTTACCACCAAGAGAACACCATTGAACGACACCGTTACGGTGGTGCAGGATGGCTCGTTTGGGGAGGAATTATTCTTGGTTCCAGAACTGACGTGCATGTTCAGAGTGTAACGATGACAGGCCACATCTATCGGGATGTCATTCTGGAACAACATGTACGTTTGTTTCGGGGCGCTATGGGTGCTGAATTTCTGTTTATGGATGACAACGCCCGTCTTCACCGTGCAAACATTATAGACGAATGCCTTCAATTGGAGGATATTACCCGTACGGATTGGCCAGCATACTCACCGGACTTGAATCCAATAGAGCATGTGTGGGATATGCTTGGCCGACGAATTGCAGCCCGTCAACCCCCTCCCAGCTGTCAACCGGAACTTCGGAGGGCATTACTTGATGAGTGGTGTAATATTCCCCAAGATCAGATTGATAATTTGATACTCAGCATGCCTAGGCGTTGTAAGGCCTGTATTGCATCGTCCGGGAGACATATTCCATATTAACCATCATACTAACCATGTTAAAATTTGAAATTTGTGATTTGAAATTTGCTCCAGGGAGTAAAAATCGCAATTTTTATTACTTATGTCAAACATATAGCAACTTTTTTTGCTCTTTACCTTTTGTTTAATAAATAGACTTTACAAATAAGTCAAATTTGTTTTGCTTCTGTCTCTTTCTTTGCCTGAACTTCATTATACTTAATTTATGGACATGAGTGTAAATATCAAACTAATCTAATATTAAGCTAAACATATAAAGAACTTTATATCTTCTGCTCTTTTTCTCATCAACTAACTAAAACGACTGAATATTCCATCTACGTTAAAGTTATTTTTATTAACAAAAATAATTATTAAAACTTTGTTGAAAATGGTAAATTTTAAGCAAGTTAAGTTTCAATTATTAAATTCGCTTCATTTTCTAGATAAGCGACGCACTTCACATCCAATTGGACCGGCAGTCGCATAGGAGGCTGAGATAAGCGAGTTTCCGATAAATCAAATGTTTCAGAGCGACGGGCTATCTCACGCAGTTATAAATTTAAATTTGGTCTGGAGCAGCGGCATTAGTCAGAATCATATTCCTATCCTCGAAACTGAAGTGTGTTTCAAGTAATTTTAACGGCATTTGTGTTGAAACTTTATCTCAAAAACACTTTATTACACCGTACAAATTATAATGTTCTAAAACTAAATTTCATGGTAAAAATGTAACTAAATTTCAATCTCTGGTAAAATTTTCTTAAAAGGTCATATTATTGATATAAGTAAATAAAATTTTAAAAATATTATGTAATGATCATTATTAATAATTTTCTGCATGTTTAATTAAAAACATTACATAACAATGGCTAAACGAAGAGACATAAAAGTAAAATGCAACTTATTGTTCAAATGCATACGATATATACGCATACGGTCAAAAAATATTTTTTTGTAATTTTGTTAATTTTACCACATAACCGTTTCTTGAATTTTTTTAAACATGAGTTAATAAATTCTAGAAATTCAAATACATATTTTGCTATGGTGACAAATCCAATTCTTTCTTATTATTCCTAATCATCAATGAATTTTTAAAATATTTCAAAATGTAAATGATAATACAACATTATAGAATGATTCACAACAATTTCTTTATAAATAAGTTTAATTTTTTCGTTTATAACAAAAATTTTCTTCTTCTTCATTAGTGGAACAGTCCCATGGGGGGGGCGGGCAAAGGCCGTCTGCCTACTGGCAGATTTCGAGACAGTAGATGTTTTTCTTTTCACAGGATAGGGTTGTCAGTCCAATGCTCTACATGCATGTTAGACCATATGGCCGGATGGCTAGCGCTCTGGCGCTCTGTACCACAGGTTTCGGGTTTGAAATCCGGTGGTGCCCTGGATGTTTGCAGTGGTTCGTAATTCACTTTAAGCCGTTGGTCACGGTCATATGAGACCGGGACCGGTAGAGCGTCATACTCAGCTCTAGGCACAGAGATGTGATGTGGTGTGGTGTAGTAGTAGTAATCATGTTAGACCGGGATTACGGTTTAAAGTGGATTCTGAACCACTACAAACATCCATGTCACCGCCAGGACTCGAAACCGAAACCTGTTTCACCGACTGCCATAACAAACATATTTTGCTATGTTAAAATGTTAGAAAGGTATTTTCTTAAAATTAACACCACTAATATTTTTTATAATTTTTTTTTATAATTTCTAACAAACCAAGAAAATCATAATCGTTTTCGAGATTGTTAGTAAACTGTTTAAAAAAATAAGAGAAGTGATAATACTTTAAGATGTACAATATTTACTATGGTATCTAAGGTCGCGTTTTACTTTGAGTGCCAGAAAAGAGTATCTTCTTAATTGATCATATCTCCTTAGGTGATCATAAACTGTGACAAAATGTGACAATTATGCTAAAACAAACACAAAGCGTTATTTCTTTTCTGCCAGAGAAATAGCACATCTTAATAATATTACAGATAAGCATTTACTATATCATGTAAATTTCCAACGAAAAGAACCACGGCCAATAATTGTCGTTGCAGCTGATTGGTTAGAAGGGTTCAAAGTGAACGTTATTCTTTCCAAGAATCTTATCCTCGGTGTTTCATATTATCAGTGCGATATATGACATCTTTGCTGTACGAGATATATGAGGGCTTAATAGAAGACATCGATCAGGATAAACATGACATCAGGTGTCTCGGAGAAGGTTAGCCCTATAGTTAGACGGTGTAAATTGTTGAACTTATACTTTCATTAACTTTCTATTTTATTGTTGGATATTTTACACTTTTTTGATTATCAAACGATAATGCTACCTTAGATTCCATAATAAATATTGTTTGTCTTGAAGTATACTGTCACTCGTCTTTTTTTGTCAAGATGTACAATATTTCTAGTATATACTAGTATTATATATTTCTAATATAAGGGCCTGAATGGCCGAGTGGCTAGCGCTCTGGAGCTCGGTACCACAGGTTTCGAGTTCGAGTCCCGGCTGTGCCATGAATGTCTGTAGTGGTTCGGAATCCACTTTAAACCGTAAGTCCCGGTCCTAATAGGATCGTAGAGCATTGCGAGGGCATTGTTACACCGCGTCCGTATCTTCAAGTTACACGCGCCCGCTGGGATATGCAAAGTGAGTAACGTCTGTGCAGCGTTTGTCTTAAGGCATCCAAGACCAAGCTGTCTAAGTGTTTGCCAGCTGCATTGGAAAAAAATATTTCTAATATATATATATAGTACTCTCAAGATGTACAATATTTACTATGGGATCGAAGTTTGTTTTCTATTTTGAATGTCAGAAAATAATATTTTCATAATTTCGAGTGATCATAATCTGCTTTGGCAAAATGTGACAATTATGCTCCAACAAGCACAAAGCATTATTTCTTTCCTTCCAGAGAAGCAGCACATCTTCAGAATATTATCGACAAGCATTTATCATGTAAAATTCCAACGAAAAGAACCATCGCCATTGCAGCTGATTGTTTAGAGGGATACTAAATGAAAGTTATTCTTTCAAACCATTTTATCCTCGGTGTTTCATATTATCAGTACGATAAATGACATCTTTACTGTACGTGATATATGAGGGCTTAATAGAAGACATCGATCAGGATAAACATGACACCAGGTGTCTTGGGGAGCGATAGCTCTATAGTTTGACGGTGTAAATTGTTGAACTTATGTTTTCATTAACTTTTTATTTTTTATTGTTGAATATTTTACGCTTTTCTGACCATCAAAGGATAGTGCTTCCTTAGATTAAATAGTAAATATTGTTTTGTCTTGGTGAATAATGTCACAAATCTTATTTTGTCAAAGCAGTTTAACAATGATCTCCTTAAATTATTAGAAGATATGCCTTGCTTCAGTGAATTTATATATATTTTATATTATTCTTCTTGCCAACGGCCATACCATGCTGAATATACCGGTTCTCGTTAGATCACCGAAGTTAAGCATCATTGGGTGCGGTCAGTACTTGGGCCACCTGGGAACACCGCGTGCAGTTGGCATTCACACATTTGGGACCTGAATGGCCGAGTGTCTAGCGCTCTGGTGCTCGGTGCCACAGGTTTCGGGTTCGAATCTCGGCGATGCCATGGATGTTTGTAGTGTTTAGGAATCCACTTTAAGCCGTAGGTCCCGGTCTCCTATGACTGTAAGAGCGTCACGGAGCAAAAGTCAGTCTTCTACCTACGGGTGCTCCATCACAACAGAAGCTGCTTCCTTCCCCTTCAATCATGAGTCCAGACGGGTTCGTGGGCTTGGCCAGCCAAGTGGGATAAGAAACAACAACAACAACAAACATATTCTTCTTCATGGGCGCAACAGCCCCTTGCTGGGCCAAGGCCGTCTGCCCGTTGACAGATTTCGAGACAGATGTTTTTCATTTTGAGGAGTATTTTTGCAGCTCTGCGCCGAACGCTCTGAAGTCATATTGGACCTTGGGGTCTGAATGGCCATTTCTCTAGCACACGGTGCCACAGGTTTCGGGTTCGAGTTCGGTGGTGCCATAGATGTTTGTAGTGGCTTGGAATACACTTTAAGCTGTAGGTCCCGATCTCATATGACTGTACAGCGTCACGCAGCAAAGTCATATTTCCCACCCACATCTTTTCCACACTGTGTAGGAGTAACTTAGATCTAGGAGCAGAGATATAGAATGGTGTAGAAGTAGTAGTAGTCATATTAGACCGGGATCTACGCTTTAAAATGGAAACTTACCACAGCAAATATATTTCGCGCATCCCGCGGGTACCTGAGTATTGGATTTTCGGCTTAGAAGTGGAATACCTCCACGAATCTATAATTATTTCTTTAAATGTATTACATATTGTTCGTTAAATATTGTATGCGTGTGGTGTTTGTGCGGAGGTAAATAAAGCTGTGAATTTTCAAACCCGTGTCTCAAGTCTCAACCCAACCACACCCAGTTACAATTCAGCTGCACAACCTGCACATTACAATACACATATTATTTCTCTTACAACATTAACATCTAATAAAAGTTTTTACTATTTCTTAAAAGTATTTTTTTCAAATGCCTGTTTTCGATTAATGTAATGAAAAAAAAAAATCTGTTCATAAATAAAAACTTCATTATTAACAAAGCATTACTGCTATTACTCAAGTTTCCGAATGTTTAAATAACATCAAAAACAGAAATTTATTGTTGTGTATGAAAAAATTAATAAATATGTTTTACTGGTACATATTTCATCTACAAAAAAAAATGCTAAAACTAAGTGGTAAGATAGCTGAAATGAGGATACATTTAATGAGTTTTGATAGAATACATTTGTTCAGTATACGAGTAAATTGATAAAGAATGTGTTTTATTGGTAGGTACTTCATAAATCAGAAAGATACTGAAACTGATTTAAATAAAGATATTTTTAGGATAATCGGGAAGGAGAAATTTACTATTGTGTATGAGAAAATTAATAAATATGGTATTAATAATATTTAAATATGTTCTTTCTCCTACAACATTAACTGCTAATAAAAGATTTTATTATTTGTTAAAAATGTTTTTTTCAAATTCCTGTTATTGATTAATTTACTGACAAAAACCTGTTCAAGAATAAAAACTTCATTACTGCAAAGTTTTATTATTTTCTTAAGCGAAATATTACTCAATTTTTGGATGTTTAATTATTATTCAAAATAGAAATTTTGTAGTAAATAAATGTGTGAACAGAATCTTCTTTCTGCTCTATTATATTCAGGAAGAAGATTTAACCCAACAGAGATGGGAAATTTACAAATAATATTTTTTAACCTAATAAAGTACTTAAAATTTTTCAAAACTTTTGTTTGTGTTTCGATAAAAAAAGTATGATTAAATTAAATAGATATGCCTGAAAATAAAATTTAAGCTTATATGATAAATAGTCTTATTCTGAAAGTAATAGATAATAAAATAAAAATTCCTTCTGAAAAACTTTCCTTTTTTATTGATCTTTCTGTTACTCAAAAACACTTTTTGAAAGTTGCATCAATTTATTTTTGATCTTTAATATCTTTTTAGCTTAATGGCTTGATCTTTTTTTACTTGTTTATGATTTTTAAAAATGATTTTATTAAATATATAAAAAATATTTTTTTTTTATAAAAGAATACTAAGTTATAAATTTTTGTTATGGAAGAATTTTCTTCTTAAATTTCCTACATGTATTATTGATTTTATATCAAATTAAATTAAAGAATACTTATGGGTTTAAAAATAATATATTATAAAACTAAAATAAGTCTTATTTTGTATTTATGTATTTATGCAAAGTTTTTACAATGGTTATAATATTATTTAAGTTTTTTAAATTATAAGCAATGTTTATTTGAGCATTTTCTAAATTGGATACCTTAACAATGTACATGGAAAAAAAATGGTGTCAATAAGTAATTTTTAAAATGAATATATGTTATTAGCATTTTTAGAAAATTTAAAAAAAAATTTCTAAAGAAAATTTTTTTTTAATAAAAATTAATTATTTATGCAGTATAAAATTAAAATTTATTAAAAGTTAACACTAAATTAAAAAATAAAATAATAAATTAAAATTTATTAAAAGTTAATTTATGCGCTGCTTTATAGTATTAATCTAATTATAACGAATTAAAAATAAAAACAAATATAAATAAAATAAAAAAAAATATATTAAAAGAAATTTTATGAAAGAGTTTATAAATTAAGCAAATATCAATATTTATATTCCCATAAAAATTCTACGAATGTAATTATCCCTAATTTTAATTTTGAATAGAATAAATTTTTAATGAATTTTTAGCTTGTTAATGATTTGTTTAATATATAAATTAGGAATGAAACTAAATTTTGTTCGAGGAATATGTTGATTTCTTATTAATAAAAAATTTAAATTTACATTTCTCAATACAGTATGATAATGTATTCAGACGAATATAAATAGCTCATAGTTAAATATTTGTCACTTTTGAATACAGGGAAATTTGATCTGCATAATTAGCTACTGGAACGACATACATGTATGTCAAGATTGCAACGTATGGAATTGCAGCATTATATACTCACATTGTGCGATCAAAATTTAAATTTAAAGAATATTCCTCAATATGGCATTTATTGATTCCTTACTTCTGGAAGGAATTTTCGGCTTACAGATTTATCATGGCATCAATACCTGTGTTGACTTATCTGACATTCCTGACATGGATAAGGATCAATTTTTTGAGTGTTGAACTAAACACATTGAGTTTGAAATATCTCTCTATTTATCATGCTGTTCCACCCTTTTAAAAATAAATCATATTCAGTATGATAAAGTATTAAGAGGAATACAAATAGCTTACTCGTAAATATTTGTTACTTTTGAACACATTGGAGTTTGATCTATGTATTTAGCTACTGAAACGCATATAAATAGCAGCATAACCAAGGTTTCACCATATGGTACTGCAACATTATAATACTCAAATGGTGCCTCCGAAATTTAGATGGAAAGTAATGTGGCATTTGTGGCACACACGCTCCTCCTTGCATCTTGACAAAATTTTCGACTTACAGGTTTATCGTGACATAGAGACAGAAAATTTCCGGCTTAGACTATATGGCATTCCTGATGTCGACACGGATCCATTTTTGAAGTTTGAACTGAACACACTGAGTTTGAAATATCACACTATTTACCATGGTGTTCCACTCTTGTGAAAATAAATTATATTTAGTATTAAGACGAATATAAATAACTTACAGATAAATATTTGCCATTTTTGAATACAGGAGAGTTTGATCTGTATAATTAGCTTTATCGGAACGACATATATGTAGTAGCCATATATAACCAAGGTTGCACCATATGGAATTGCAACATTATACTCACATTGTGTCACCAAAATTTAGACGGAAAGAATACTCCTAAATGTGGCATTTGTGTGTCCAAACGCTAAACCTTTCTTCTTGAAAGAATTTTCGGCTTACAGACTTTTAGAGGAAAAGATCAAGAAAGTTTGCGGTGTAGACTATCTGGCATCCCTGACGTGGACACAGATTCATTTTTAAGTTTTTAACTGAACACACTAAGTTTGAAATCCCAATACACTATTTACCATAGCGTTCCACCCTTGTAAAAAGAAATCATATTCAATATGATAACGTATTAAGATGAATATAAATAATTTACAAATAAATATTTGTTGCTTTTGAATGCAGAGGAGTTTGATCCATGTTAATTAGCTACTGGAACGACATATATGTAGCAGCCATATATAACCAAGGTTGCACCATATGAAATTGCAACATTATACTCATCATGCACCACCAAAGTTTAGGTAGATAGAATATCCTTTAATGTGTCATTTGTAGGTTCACCTTACTTTTTGAAAGTATTTTCGGTTTACAGATTTATTGTGGAATTGACCAGGAACCTTTCCAGCTTGGACAATCTGTTATCCCTAACATGGACATGGATCCCTTTTTGACTCTTGAACTAAACACACTGAGTTTGAAATACACCATTATTTACCATGGCCCTCTCCCCTTGTAAAAATAAATCATATTCGGTATGATAAATTAATTCAGTATGATAAAATATTAAGATGAATATAAATATCTTACAGATAAACATTTGTTACTTTTGAATAAAAGGGAGTTTGATCTATATAATTAGCTGCTGGAACTATATATATGCCGCAGCATAAACAATTTAGCACCACATGGAATTGCAACATTATACTCGCATTGTGCCACTAAAATGTAGGTGAAAAGAATATCCCTTAAAGTGGCATTTGTAGGTTCACTTCCTCCTCCTTGTTTCTTGCTTTTGTCTTTGATACCGCAAACTTCAAGTTCGAATCCTAGAGGTGGCATGGATATTTGTTAATGGTTCGAAACCCCCGTTTAACTGCAGGTCCCAGTCTAATTATCCTAGTGTGCACAAATGACCATAGAGCGACACATCAAATCAAATCCAACCAAACCTTGCTTCTTGAAAGAATTTTCTGCTTACAGATTTATCATGGCATAGACCTGG